CTCTGCCCCGCGGGAACGTGTTTCCCTCGCTCGGGAGCGAGGCCTTTGGTGCTGAGGCTGCGAGGGAATCGTTAGCCTGGCTTTGTCGGGAGTAATGTGTATCTGGCGCTTCCTGCCGGGTTCAGTGTGTGTGAGAAATAGGGCTTACCTTGCTCGGCTAAAGTTAGCAGGTGTTTTTATGGGGAGCAGCTGGGAGTAAAAGTCAGGGTTGTGTGGACTGGCTTGGGTGTTACAGGGCTGCTCGCCCAGCCAGATGTGCCGAGTTCACTTACACGTCTGGATCGATTCACTCCTTCAGTGATTAGTGATGTCAGACTAATGTGACTCCTGGCTGTAGGACATGGTCAGATATTCTCCAGGTCATGCTCTTTAGCTTTTCAGGAAATTAGCTCCTAATTTCATTTAAACCCAGGACACCTGTTACTCCTTTGCCCATATCCAAGGCTTGCAAGGGAAACACCAGAGTAGTTATGTATTTGGATATACATCTTTACACTTTATTATAACCTTTCTACTGTGTGTTTGTGGCAGCTGTCACTCTAGTAACCCTGGAAAGCATGTTAAATGCTGAGGTGAGTTTTTCTGGGTTGGTTTGGGATGTTTTTTGAGGGCTGAGGTGTTTGAAGTTGAATGAGTTACACCTGGCCTTCAGAAAATTACGGTGTTCTGTAGGAGATACTTCTACAGGAAAGAAATTCAGTTTTAACTCCAGGTACTGTGTTGTGATGGAGCTGGAGAAGTCATTTAATGTGAACTTGGGTGAGAATGGAGAGGTGAACACTTTTGTAAGGGAAATGCTGTTGTAGCTAACTAATCTTGTGGCTTTGTGTTCAGGTTCAGTGTGGTGACTTTCCTCATCTGTTGGTGTATGGACCATCAGGAGCTGGAAAAAAGACAAGGATAATGTGTTTATTAAGGGAATTATATGGTCCAGGAGTGGAAAAACTGAGGATTGAGCATCAGAGTATAACAGTAAGAAAAATGAATTTCCTATCTGCTATTGACATATATCTGTTATGAGGCCCTTTATATTGATTTAAGTTTTAAAAATAATGGGTTTCTTTGCACTCAGTATCTTCATGCTTTTTTTAAAAAAATTAATACTAATTTGATTATATGAACAAATACTTTTCTAGAGGTTTTTGTTCCTTAGCTCTCTGGGATATGGGGTTCTCTGTTTTCTGTGCCTGGTTGGCTGTTCCTGTGGTGGGGTTTTCGTTTGCTGTTTACAGGTCAGTTTGCACAGTAGCATCTGTTGTGATAGACTAGCTCTGAATTAAATGTGTAGCATTTCATTTGTAAAAATAACCCTTATTTTTTAAGTTCTTGTTGCAGCTTTTTGCATATATGCAAGTTTTAGCTTGTTTTCTCATTCTTGTAGTGGCAACTTCAGCATTAGTTAAAAGAATAATCATTTTAAATTCTCTCTGCTCTGGTCTTGTTTGTATTTTAACTGTTCAGACCTAGTTCAGTGGTGATATAAATAATAGTGTTTTCTTTAAACAAAGTATAGACTTGAAATCCATTTACAAGAAAATTAAATAGACTCTTTAGGCTTGTCCAGCAGTTTTGCCTCCAGAACTCTGCTTTGGATGGATAAAGTGTCACTTATTGTGAATGGCTGATTCCAGTAAGACTTCTTTTACAAAACTCTGGAGTGTGCAGTAATACATATATGCATACATACATACATAATGATGATTACTGTTACTATTTTACAGACTGGGTTATGTGTCAGTTTTTTGCTCCTTTTCTCCTTTGGAGGTGGGATTCAGGGGATAGGAGATTGGCAAGTCTAGTGTCTCAGCAGTTCCTTGGACTCTGAGACTCTAGGTTTGTCTCTGACCTAGCCAGCTGTAACCTGTAAGATAAATGTTTAAAACTCTTTCTGAAACTTAATATGCTTCCTTTCTACACAGGCGCCTTCTAAAAAGAAAATTGAAATTAGCACCATTGCAAGTAATTATCACCTTGAAGTTAACCCAAGGTGAGTTTACAGTATAGATGTCCCAGTTCAAAGATAAGCCACTGGTCATTTTGCAAGTGATTGCAGCCTGGGTATATAGGGTCTGATTACCCAGTTTGTTGCCTGAGCAAATTAGATAATGGTTTATGGGTTTGGTCTGGAAATGAGTGCAGGGAGAGGTCTTCTAACTGAACAGCTCTAGTATACAGCAATCCAAATTTTTGTTCATTTAAAGATGCTAATGTTCTGCTTAACTAGTCACTAGCATGCTGATGTTGAGGATTGGGTAACAGAGACAATTCTGGATTCATAGCTTTAACTATTTCAGTTGAAGTTGAGACACTTTTTGGACCTAACATCTCCATGTTGTTAGTTCTCTCACAAATACAAGAATAAAGGAATTTGAAAGTAACAGGGTTTACCTAGTAACTCTTCAAATAAGGTGCTTAGAGTGCTGGGAAAGAACACACCACAGAACACTGTGAATCCTGTCTTGAACAAGGTTAGGTGTGGAGTTAAACAACAGAAGCTAAAATGGGGTACTGTATGTCTTTGGCAGTCGGGGATTGCTGATGATAGAAAATCATTTATGCTGCAATAATGTCCCAGGATCAGTATTTTACTAGTAACTTGTTGGGACATCAGTGTGTCTTTCAAATTTACATTAAGCATATAGATTGGTTGTGGCATGACATCTAGTTTTCAGGGGTGAAAACCCTACATTTACATCAGTCCTTTGAGTCAGGCATCCCATTATGTGGTTAGACCTAATTGTTCTTCCCATAATGGGTAAAATGTTCTCATTGTGTTTCTTTGTCCAAATTGTAGATAACAGAATAATAAGTGCTATTTTAATGAGTTAATAAAACATTTGACAATGGTTTTCACTACTTTTGAATACAGTGCTACTAACCTACTGCTCCTGCCTAAGCTTTGGGTTGTTTTTGTTATTGGGAAGGTAACTTTCAACCACGTAGGTGTGTTGAGCTTAATTCTAATCTCAGCAGCTTCTGAATTCTTTTGATGTTCTTGTTCAGTCAGTTGACCAAGGGGCTGCTTAGGAGGATGTATTTTATGTGTAATATAAAGTGGTTTTAAACCAAGATTTAATCAAACTCCTGGTACAGTGATGCAGGAAACAACGACCGTGTAGTAATTCAGGAACTCTTGAAGACAGTAGCACAGTCCCAGCAGCTTGAGACAAGTACTCAACGAGATTTTAAAGGTGAGTAGAACAGTTAAAACCAGTCAAAATGCTTTTTAAACTTGGGTATTTTTTTCTGAAACTTCAGCTCACCGTATTGTTTGTACCTGTATATTGCATGAAGACACACATGAACCTTTTTCCATTTAGAAGCATTTTATCCATAGTGTGCATAATGACACCGGGTAAGAAAATGGTGGCTTTCATTGAATTTTCCAAGACACATGTTGCTATGACTGGCTTATTTTTCCTCCCCATGGCTAACTTGAATGCAAAATCAGAACCATATAATGAGATAGGAGAGAGGAAATCTTGATGGATAGTAGAGGAGAAACTAGTTGAAAATAGTCATGGACTTTGTCTCCTTGTTCTACGGTTCTGTTTCCTCCTGTTCTCAGAAAATACTTTTTCACCTAAGCTGCTCAACAGTGTTTGGCTCTACCAGTTATTGATGTATATATCCTTACAGCTGCAGTCATACCATGCACCTCAAAATGCCTGGTAAGCTGTCTGGTCTTATAAGCCTGCATATATTACCAGAAGAGAAGTTGAAGTGTACTGGGCTGACTTGTTCCTCCAGGCTCTTGACCATTCAGAGTATTGAAATGAGCCACCTATGAGTGATCTATGAAGGAACCTGCAGAAAATAGCTGGTTAGGTTAGTTGCTTTGTATTAGGTGTCTCCTGATTGTTGTGAAACATTTTTTGAAATACATTTTTCTATTTTCTCTTTAAGAGACCTCGGAGAGGGACTGCAGCTACAATAACAAGGCAGCTTTCTACTCTTCCTTTGTCAGACCTAGATGTTGGCTTTTAAATGTAAAATGTGTTGAGGGGAGTCTTCAAGAAATTTGTGCTTTTTGATACATCCTTATGCCATAAATTCTCTTTCATTTCTTACTTCAAAATTCCTTTAAAAAGTTACTATGCTGGTATTCAAAGTGAAAGCTTCTACACATACCTGGATTATTTCTTGGCACTGAGGCATTGCAGACTCTGGTCTGAAGAAATTGACATTTCAGGATATGAATACAGTGTGTGTGAAAGAGTGGAAGATTGTACAGTCAAAAAGGCATGCAGGTTATCTTAACCTTTATTTTCCCGCCTGTGGACAAAGCTGCCTTTTTCTGTGTGCATCATTCATTTTGATATTATGCTTGTATGTCAAAAGTGTTTGTTTTCTTAGAAAGGTTTGATATTAATATGAAACCCCACTATTTTTAATCCTTTTTTTCAGTGGTGCTGTTAACAGAAGTTGACAAACTCACTAAAGATGCTCAGCACGCTTTGCGAAGAACAATGGAGAAGTACATGGCAACCTGCAGATTGATCCTGTGCTGCAACTCCATGTCAAAAATTATAGGACCCATTCAAAGCAGATGCCTGGCTGTACGAGTGCCTGCTCCCAGCATTGAAGATGTATGTTGAAACAGAAGGAAGAATAAGTTGTTTTAAAATTCTTACTAGATAAGTTCTTGCTGTGGACTTAGGAAAGTGACCTAGTTTTTCTTTGTGATGGGTTGTGATGTCAAGCATGGCTGAAAGTCTGGTCCATCTCTGGTCCGGAAGTCTTTCAGACAGGAGAGTCTGTAGGTGCTGAATGGTTTGCTAAGTGTTATACTCCCTGCTACCTGTTTTCCATCTAGATCTGCCATGTCTTGACCAGTGTGTGTAAGAAGGAAGGCCTGACTCTTCCTCCGGAACTGGCTCAAAGGATTGCAGAGAAATCTGGCAGGAATCTTCGGAAAGCACTACTTATGTGTGAGTCCTGCAGAGTACAACAGTAAGTCACTGCAAAAACTAATGTAAATTATACTGTCAGACACATAAATGACCCCATACTTCTAAGACCTTGTTAGAATAGGTGACAAATTGCTTTGATTTTGATTTTTTAAAAATATGGTTGATTACTGTGCAGGTATCCTTTTACTCCTGATCAGGACATTCCTGAGATGGACTGGGAGGTTTATTTGAGAGAAACTGCAAATGCCATTGTTGGCCAGCAGACACCACAAAGGTAGGTGGTTGCGCTTGTTCAGAGCTGTCAATTATGTTTTTGGTGTCCTCTGGAACCAAAAAAAAAAGTTACATTTAAAAATGTCGCCTCTTTACATGTAATTTTCTATTATTTCTACTGGAGTTGCAGCCAGAGGAAGTGAGATTTAAAATCACCAGAGGAGGCTAAATAAGAATCGGGAACTGAAAAACTGTTGCTTTTCTCTCTTACAGCTTAGTAATCAAAAGTGAGCATAGGCTGAGTTGCATGTCATGTTTTCTGTCTTTTTTTTGGGATGGGGGGGCAGACAGGGTGAATAAGTGTATATGCTTGGTGTGGTTGGTTTGGTTTACCTTTGGTTTCTGTTTCACCATCTCTGGTATAACGCACCTTTGTAAAAGAACTGGAAATGAGAAATGATCACTTTTTTTGAAGCACATTAGGACATGACCCCTTCATCCATCTCAGTGTCACATATAGGCCTGATCCTTTTAGTCTGTTCTATATATTATGTACATGAGATGTCACTTAATTTAGATGCTAATAACGTCTGACCTCCTGATACTGAAAGCTGAGTATCAGTAACTGTCACTTTTGCCACCTAATTGTCTTATCCCTTCTTATAAACAATGAAGTCAGAAAAACAGCATAAAGGAGTCCTGTGGCTCTAATCAATTTTGTTTGTGTCTCCTCACTAATCTTAAGCATGAATAATAGCTTGGATAGGAAGAGGAATTAAAGGGAGACAAGCCTGAGACAAATTCTAATAGCTTTGTAGCTTCTAGATTAACTGAGACAATTGTAACTAGAGTATATGTAACTTGTCTTTTGAATAAAAGGTGATATGTAGCATTTGAATTGAAACTGACCCGTGCAATGATGATGAGATTAAAATAACACACAAAACCAAAAAGAGAAAAGAGGCTTTGCTTGGGGTGACTTTGTTCCTGCAGCATATTTCACAAGTAGTGAAAACACATTAGTGTGCTTTGGGGTCATAATTCTTGTATTTTGTGGTGTCTTTCCAACAGGCTTTTAGAGGTCCGTGGACGGCTTTATGAGCTCCTGACACACTGCATTCCTCCTGAGATTATAATGAAGGTAATTCAGCTATCTAGCTCTTAGTGTGTTACAAATATTAATGCCGTGACAACCTCAACTAGGTTTTCTAAAAAAAAAAATCCACACCAAAGCATCACAAACTATCCAAATATTGATGAAAAGCTCTGTGCTTTCCAAATAGACGTGAGTGACCAAAAGATACTTCTCTCTGACCAGTTTCTATATTGAAACACAGACATTATCATGTCCAGAGAAGGGCAACAAAGTTGGTGAAGGGTCTGGAACATAAGTCCTATGAGGAGTGGCTGAGCAAGCTGGAGTTGTTTAACCTGGAGAAAAGGATGTTCAGGAAGGACCTGATTACAGCTACCTGAAAGGAGGTTGTAGCAAAGTGAGGACTGCTCTCCTTACAGGCAGCCAATGACAGGACAAGAGGAAGTGGACTTAAGCTGCACAAGGGAAGGTTCAGGATCGATATTAGGAAAAATTTCTTCACTGATAGAGTGGTAAAGCATTGAAACAGGCTCCCCAGGGAAGTGGTGGAGTCACCATCCCCAGAGATGTTAAAAAAATGAGTAGATGTGGTACTGTGTGATACCGGTTAATGGGCATGGTGGTATTTGGTCAAAGATTGGACTAAATGATCTTGGTGGTTTTCTGCAGCCTGCATGGTTATATGATTCTACGGGCTAATCTTGATAGGATGTTTTCTTTTGTATAAGTTTTGTTGTTGTAAGTTCAGTATTCTCAATGTCTTGGTGGAGAGGTGTGCTGTGAAGGGTGCTAGACCAGCAGCCTTTTCAAAGACAGAAGTCATCTTGAGAGGAGAAAAGCAAATGGGATGTGCATGTTTTTATTTTAAGTAGGATGAAAGGATACTGCAGATACCTAGCACAGAACAAGGATTAAAGATAATGTTTGCAATTTAACCGAAGTGGACTTTGCCTTCAGACATAAATTCTTTTCACATTAACTGCTTTTTTGCCTTCTGACAGTTTTGGGAGTTAGATGTTTCTTTAACTTTCCTTTCTTAGGGTAGCTTAGTGGATCCTGCATTGCCATGTTTGAGAGGCCACAGGTGCATGTTCTTTACCCACTCCCTCTTGATAAACTTGAAATGGTCTAGAGATACTTCTCACTTAGTCCTCCTTTAATAAATCCTGTTTTAATAGAGATGGATTTGCAATGATTTTATTGCTGTCTCTGATCTAAAACAATGCATTTGGGGGTTTTATAATGACTAAAGTATTTGGGCCAAGTGTCTTGTGTGTGTCTACACAGAAATATATACATAAATATAAACAGATATACTTAAATTCTAAATAAATCCTTGTTATTTATTAACACTGTTTCTTGTGCTTGATGCTGTTGAGATAGAAGTGGTTTTAATGTAACACTTGCTGTCTGGCTAAGAATTCTCCCCAGGGCCATGTTGCCTGCATGCAGTAGAGGTTATACTTTTTGGAAATGAGGTTAAATTGCCTTTATTAAGGCATAAATAGTTCGGGTAAGTGATTCTTGAATGTCTTTTCTGTTGGATTAATGAGTGAACTATTTGTCATATCTTGATTGTTTTCAGAGAAACAAGGTTATCCTCTTAACAAAAAATAACTAATTTATCAAATGCTGTCCTGTTTTTTCCCATTTTAGGGCCTCCTGACAGAACTTCTGAATAACTGTGACGGACAGCTGAAAGCAGACGTTGCACAGATGGCAGCGTTCTATGAGCACCGCCTGCAACTGGGCAGCAAAGCCATTTATCATCTGGAAGCATTTGTTGCAAAGTTCATGGCAATTTACAAGAAGTTCATGGAGGATGGGCTAGATGACATGATGTTCTGACTCTTAAGCCCAAAGTCGTACATAAAATGTTGTGTCAAGACACCAGTAATGTTGCAAATGTCTACTGGTCCATGCCTGATCACATGTGGGTCTAGTTCTAAGTCAAACATTATTATTTTGCTATGTAATAAAAATCATGTTTCTTCAGCTTTTTAAACCAGATGGATCGTTTGACAGCCACAAATCCATCTTTAGATCCATACAAAATACATTGGCCTTTCAGAAAGACTTGGAAGATGTATAAGATCATAGTTGCTTTGCCGTATTTGTAAGTTGACATTAAGAAGAGAGAACACGTATGCTATATGTTTGGATTTTGTTTGTTACTGGGCAAGGCTATAAGCAAAAGATGTCTTTAGCATGGTGTATTAAGTTCCAGTTTGAACAGATATTCATATGTTCATATATTCAAGACAGCCACACTGTTTTCTGTGGCGTGCTCACGCAGAATGGTTTATGACTTTGGCTTGTTTGTTTTAAGTACTTGCATTGAAATTGTGGATGAGCTGTACTTCTGTGTTGCTTGTAAATCAGTATGATAACTTGGAGCATCTTGTTTAGAAGAAATATAGGTATATAAAGCAAGTCCACTTGCTGTCTGACACTTCAGGGTTCACCTTAACATACACAGTGCTGTTCAGGTAAAGGTTATTCCTTTTGACTATTTTTTTAACGAAGGGTAGGGTTTCAACTTTTAACAAATACTCTGTCACCTCCTAAATTGGTATGTGACATTTTTCAAATGGCAAAATAAATTGTAGAAAATATGACCAGCTCGACTGCTGAATTAATGTTTTTTGCTGTCTGTGACTGCCTAGGTACATGCATTTGCTTTGATAGAGATGTCTTTCAGGAAGGTGGGGTATCCCACACGCACTGTTAAGACTACAGGAGCCACTCAAGTTTAAAAAATCCAAATACAAGCAAAAGGAAAAAAACAGCCTCCCAAAATAATAGAAAACCAGCAAGACCTATGCTGCAAGTCTTTTGTGTGTTCTGTTTATATACCCCAAAAATTACTGAATTTATGCCCTTAATTACTTTACTATGCTAATTCAGGCTATTACTAGATAGTATTTAAAGCTAAAGTGAGTAGTATTTAAAGCTAAAGTGAGTTAAATAGTTTCCCTTTCCCCTCCCCCTTTCCAGGGAAGAGCTTAGTATTAATGTTTTTTTGTGTCAGAGGTAGTTATGCACAACAGCAGCTTTTTTTGCAAGCTAGGGCCTTTCCTCTAGCAATTGGGAAATAAAGAATCTCAATAGTTATTAGTAACTGTCATCCTCTAAAATGTACAGAAGGCTGTAGCAGTCCTGCAAGTTGCTGCTGTTCTCAGGAATTTGACTGTTCCAGATGTGCTATTAATGCACAGCTTGCTTTCGGATTCATTCTCAGTAAGATGTTGCTTGCCTGCTTTGTGCTCAACTGGTCTCCTGAAGAAGATGAGCTCATAGCAGCCTTCCAGTATCTGAAGAGGTTTACAGGGATGCTGGAGAGGGACTTTTTGTTAGGAGCTGTAGTGGCCAGATGAGGGGCAACAGGTACTAATTGAAGGAGGGGAAATTTAGGCTGGATATTAGGAAAAAGTTTTTTCCTATGAGGGTGGTGAGACACTGGCACAGGTTGCCCAGGGAGGTAATAGATGCCCCAACCCTGGCAGTGCTCAAAGCCAGGCTGGATGAAGCCTTGAGCAACCTGGTCTGGTGGGACATGTTCCTGCCCATGGCAGGAGTGGGGTGGAGACTAGATGATCCATTCCAACCCCTAAAATTCTATGATTCTATGGAGTCTTTTCATCCTAATTCCACAGCAGTGGTAGCTTGTCCGATTGTGAGTGCCTTTACAAAGACCCTGAAAAGCATTAGTCAGTGATAGTACAGATGAGTGCTTAAGTCCATTATAAAGAAGAGCACAATGGTAGAGGGGGCATAATTACTGCATGTACAAACTGCCCCACTCTTTCAGGAGCCTTGTCTTATCTACTAGTTTTTTAAAAACAAAACTACCATTTCCCTACTACTATAGGTATAGTGCATGATGAAGCAAAAGTCTGAGTTCAAAAGATAATTAAATGCTTCCCGCCCACTAAGAACAACCCCAAAAGCTAATGTAGGAGGAAGGGAATGTGTGGAGGCATGTTTGAAATACAGGTGAAATGCATAGAGACAGTGTTGCTGTGGAGGATGGAGAGGTACAAGCTGGTTTGGAGGTTTGTCTGTGGGCAGAGGCAGAGGAGCAGCTTGCTGTTTCAAAAGGCCTCAGCGACTTTGTCTAAGAGTCTGAAGCACCGACATGAATCTCTCTCTAGGTGTTCTTGCTGCCTCTTGTTGAAGTTTCATTTTCATCCTGGGGTGAATCAAGAGTAACCACAGATGGAAGAATGGGATAATGACCAGGGATTTCTGAGAGAGAAAATGGCTATCGCAGTTCCTGAGAACTGGCATTTCCCCCTGCTGATCCTACTCCTGCCTCTTTGTTTTCCACAGTCTAGAACACAAACGTGGGCACAATGTCTCATAAATTTCTGCACATGTCTTTCCTTCCTAGTAATTTTTCAGGAAATTCTGCTTTAATATCCATAACAGGCTCTCCAGGGAAGTGGTAATGCTGCCAAGCCTGTCAGAGTTCAAGGAGTGTCTGGATGATGCTCTGCACCATATGGTTTAGTTTTAGTTAGTCCTGTGAGGAGCAGGGAATTGGGCTCGATGATCCTTAGGGGGGTCACTTCCAACTCAAGAGTTTTTGTGATAATGATCAGTAAGTGTTGTGTTTTCGGGAACGCTTTAGAAGCTAATTGCCCTGGATGCTGCTTCCCCTCCCTTGTGGGTAGCTGTAGCTCTTGCTTAGAGGACGTGTGATTCAAAGCTGAGGTCCTGGGCTGTGCTGGAGGGAGCAAAGATCAGTAAACCCAACTCCTTGTGCTGCACACTGGCAAGTGGAGCTGGTGGGAATGTATGAGCAGGTGGCTGTCAGAAATAAAAAGGAGGTTTATGCCCTTTTTTTTCCCCTCATGAGGCTTCCATGTAAACCTTTTTACAAAAAATATAGAACCTTAGCTTGGCAAGCAAGGGTATCCTGGGGTAGGCACAGCTGCCTCTGCAGCCTAGAATAGAAGCATAGAATCATTTATGTTGGAAAAGACCTCTTAGATCATCGAACCCAACCAAGTGACAGTGTTGTGCTGGACCTATCCTGAGCACTGCACAGCTGCTTCACAGATGAAGTTGGAGAGGCAGTGCCGACAGACTTTTAAACACTGAATAGCACAGGGCCAACCTCTAGATGATCTGTTTCTTCAGCTGATTTCATCTTTTGAGACCTGCTTAGAATTGCTTCTGAATTGCATGCTGAGAGGATTACCCTTGCTTTTATTCAGTTACACCTCCTACTAGTTCCAAAGGAAAACTCCAAGCTGCTCCCTCCCGGGTGGGACTTAAGCACTGAACAAGCCTAAGAGGTTGCAGGGGAGTCAGCTTCATGCTAGCACAGAAAGCCAGAGGTGAAACTGGTTTTAAAAAAACTGATCAAGAAACTAAAGGCAGAAACTACTTCTGTTGAAACTTTCTGTGCTCTGTAAAGATCAACTGTGCAAAGGGTGAATGGTGCATTTAGACTTTATTCCTCATTTCTGAAGTCCAAGCGTTAACTCCTGTGAGGAATGTTATTTTAAAAATCATATTATTTTTAGACATCTACGGTAAACAACTCTACTTGAACATTAATCATAATAAGCGTATTATGTGATTGGAAGACTGATTTAGAAAAATGTATTTCATTAAATAAGTCCATGTGAGCAAAGCTGACATGAGGAATGTTCCCTTCTTCACCAAAGAAGTACCCTGATTATCACAAGGTAAAAAGTAAGGTAGATAAGAGCTCATTATCACAAATTTTCCTTCCAGTGCAGGGAATTCAAGATTATTACAGTTCATTGATATAAAGTAATAGCTGTAATTTGTCTTCTTGGAAAGAGCTGTGGCATGCCTGAGCAGTCCTTGCTTAACTTTTTTCCTGCACTAACAATGAATGCTATATGAATTTGTTGCATTGGATTTCAAACCAAACCCCAGGAGAGTAGTCTTCTGAACAAAAGTTGATGGCAGTGAAATGTGTTTCTGGTTCTTGAAGGCCAAAATGCTTCTCTTGATATTTGTATTTCATAAGGAGGGAAGAAATGTGAACGCATAAGCATGCAAAAAAAATGACCTCTATTGTTGAACATGCCCTGAAGGCTAATCAACAGTATGTTGTGCAAGTTGCATGACACAATTACTTGCACATCACGAAATGACCAAGATTACAATAGTTTGCTATTAACTTCAACACATTGGGGAATTGACTCAGAATTTTCTCTGTCATCAAAAATGAAATTATTTTCTGTCCAAATTGACTAGGACAACTGGTGCCTACCCCAGGTTTTGGTCTTTTAGTTTGTTTTTTGTTTGTTTTAAAGCAGTGGATGCTTTGCTTGTCTGAAAATTGACCCTAGTAGCCATTATTCCTATAACAGATTTTCTTCTACAGTTGTGTACAGTGTATGTGCTGAACTTCTGGAAGAAAATGTATGCTGTTTCAGCAATCCAAGAGGTAGTAAATATTGTCCCAATCGTTTGAGTTTTAGGCGGTATTTCAGTGGATATGGGTTTGGCATCTCTTAAATAGGAGTAAGGCACCAGATAATACAAGCATGGAGCATCACCACTGACAGCATTGGTCTAATTGCATTTCCCTTAGCAGTCACCTCCTCTGTACTGGCACCTTGAAGCTGATCTTCAGTCCTGTCCCAAGGCAGAATAGGTGTTGGTCTTTCTTGGGTGGTTTTAACCTCTTTTCAAGCCACTGTATACAGTTATAAAGAGCAAAAGTTTAGGTCTGGGGCAATTGAAGGCTGAGCTGGAGACCTACTGTCCTGGTCCCTCTCTTGGCTGATCCTGTGTTTCCCCAAATAATTTTTCTTGGTTTTGCCTGGAACATTTACTTTGCTGTATTAAATGTGATGCTTTTAGCTGGAAGTCTGTGACAGCTAGTGAAATGG